CAAAGAGGAAGGGTCCTGAAAATGATGTCTGAGCAATGAAAGACAGTGAATATTTTAAAGATCACTGAATTTAATTTATTCAACCTAAATGCATAAAAGTACAGGTGGGGACATTATTTATGCAGGTATATGCAAATCACTTTATAAAATAGGCAAAGCCCTTCTGCTTTTTATAAGTTGCCAAGGTGGTTCCTGATATTTTAAAAGCTATGCACCTTTAATGTAATTTCCTAAGAGCTGGAATCCCTTGTAGGAATCACAGTCATTGTCAGAGCAAGTTTATTTTTTCCCCCTCTCCTCCAGGACATTTACAAGGCTCTCATAACCATCACAAAAAGACTGGTTTCCACAGAGATGTGACTGGAAAAATCCCCTGGAAATTGCTGAGGAGCAAGTCACAGTGTTCAAAGYGGAGAACATAGGCTTTGAAAACATGAACCCATCTGACCTCCTGAATTTAGTACAGTGAATTCCTGAGCTCTGAAACATGGGGCCCGGCTGTGCATGCCATATTGGTGCTATAAGACTGGCAGTAGGTTGGCTGTGGCATGGTCTATTTCAAACTCCTTCACAGTGCCCAGTGTTGCATGTTCCCAGATGACATTTGGTTGGCAGAAGCTGGGCCTCCAAAGCTGGCAGTCTGGAACGCAGCCCACTGTGTTTTGACAAACACATAATTGACCATCTGATCACCAGCCTACGTTCTGCACTCAGGTCACTGGGGGACCTGGGCTTTCAATAGGTCCCTGCTCCTCATCTTGTTCATCTTCTCAAACCTTTCTCTAGAAAGCAATATAGAGAAGACTTAAACACACCCACACAGATCCTCCCATTTGCAAAAAAGAACATGGTATGTGAAACATAAGCTGTTGAAAATTTCCTTTAAATTGTCCTGGCAGCCCAAAGTGAACAAGAGAAAAGCACACTTATGGTGAACTCTAATTCAGAGAGAAGAAATGAATATACTGAATTGTTTCAACACCCGGCTGTGCATAAGTTGCAATTCAGTTCAATGGCTTGGAAATGCTGCTTAGAAAAAGGCAGCAATGGGAAAATGATAGGAAATTGGGACATTGATTGACTTTAGGGAGGCATTATTAAGAAATGATTTCATTTCTAGGTGAACAAAAGCAGGACACTGTCAATGTCATTTTCTTTTCTGCTCCCTTTCTTCTTGCCCATGACTGTTGTAGGCAGGAGATACACACCCCTGGGGACCAGTAGGCAACAGCTCAGTGTAGGGGCAGATTCAAATCAAGTTCTCCAGTGAAACTCCCATAAGGATACGATTTGGTCTGAAATTTATTGGCCTCACACAACAGCCTTTCTCCTAAAAGGCATGGATTACGAAGTAGGCCAAAGTATGCTGGAGTTATGCAAATGTCAGTATTTCTATTTGGGTTTGGATATGAGATGTCCCCTGAAAAGCACCATGTTCAGCAATGCAGGAACATTCAGAGGTGAAATGATTATATTATGTGAATAGTAACCTCATCAGTGGATTAATCTATTTGATGGATTAATAATTTGAATGGATTACATATGGTAACTTGAGGAAGGTTAGATTAAGTAGAATGCTGGGGGTATACATTTGAGGATTATATTTTGCCCCTGACTCCTATCTCTCTTTCTTTCTATTTACTGGTTTCCATAAGCTGAGCAGCTTTCCTCTACCATGTCCTTTCACCATGATGTTCTGCCTTATCTCAGGTTCTAAGCAATGATATCAGCTGACCATGAACTTAACCTCTAAAAACACGAGCCTAAATAAACTTTTCCTTTTATAAGTTGTTCTTGTYAGATATTTTGGTCATAGTGACAAAAAGCTGACTAAMCCAACTTCCCAGTAGACTTTCCTCTCCACTTGACCCCATTGCACAGTTAAGGCCATTGTTTTCACCTTGACCTAGTTTCTCTATTCTCAATCAGCCATCTCTATCACTGGAGTGTTCTTTATAAAACACAAAGTTGGTTAAATTATTTAAGATCTCCCTAAGTCTGCAGGAGGAAGTCCAGACTCCTCTGCAGGACCTACAACAGATCTGTGATTTGCCTCCTGCCTACTTTCCATCTTTCCATCCCTGTCTCTCATGTTCTTCTTTTAGTCACCAAGCTTTAGCAGCACCAAACTGCTCAGCCCCTTGAATATGGCTGCCTGATGTCTCCTGACTTCATAAATGTTATTGCTTTTTTCTTGATTATGRGCCTTTTTTCTTTCCCCACCTTTTTTTAATCCACCTTATAAACTGTTCTTAATTTTTTAACTTTAAGAACCAACTTGGGTGCCTTTTCAAATATAGTTGAGCATTCTTTTCTCATTCTTCTCTATGTATCTTATACCTATATTCATTCCAGTGCCCACCATGAGGCAATCTTCATTTACTTATTTATATTCCCTATCAGACTATGAGATTTTTAAGAAAAGGGAGCATTTCATATTTATTTTGGAGTTCTCAGAACTSAGCCTAGTAAATGTTTGTTGACTGAAAACTAAATAAAGAGCTATAAATAATAATTAATCAAAACTAAGGTAAGCAGTAGTATTAGCTTTTATAAGCATGGTAGGAGACTATTAGCAATCTAATGAAGGCAGAAGATCCCAGCAGTACTGCACTTTCTGATGGTTATCACAGGGGCTGATGATTGGCTGGGGTGAGAGTAAGAGGGAGGGAGGGGCGCTGTGATGGAGGGATGTCTTTTTAACAGAGAATGTCACTAAGGCAGTAAATTATCACGTTTTCAACATGTAGTTTTCAGTACTGAAAGGTATTGTCTTGAGAATGTATTTGAGTTTGATTGTAAAGAGGCCTAACTTACAAGAACTGGATCTCCCAAATAGGACAAGTGTGTGCCACCTGCTTCAAGGCATCGAGGCATCATGAAGGATCCTTTTTGTTTCTACTAAWGAGTAATGGAACGGAAAACTCTTGGGGGAAAGTCTGGCAGCTATTCAATTCCTATTGAAATCTGGGTCAAATCCAGATTGGGGCACTGGATTAAACACAGTGCCAAGGAGAGAAGGTCAAATAGGYTGGATTCTGCACCTGTCCAGAGGAGGCCATTGAAAAGGCACTTGAAGCTAGATGGAGTGAGGAGATAATGTTCTGATCTGTTCCCAAGGAACTTTTCCTTTCCTTTTTACAGGCCTCTGAGGCCCCATTCTTAGGGGCATCAGCTGTGTCCATGGGGTACTTGAGGACAGCAGAACAGTCATAGGCCCTGTCACCCTGCTGATACAAAGGCAGCCTCAGGATTTGGAACAAGCCTAAACAAGCAGAAAACCTGGCTCAGGGGTGGGACAAGATCATGGGCACATGAGTGGACTATTAGCTCACTATGGGTCTTTTCCCTCACCTTATCTTTGGTTGAAAAATAGGATCTCTTTAGAAGCTGCTTGATTGATGGTTGATGTAGCATAGAGTCAGTTTCATATTTTCCTATGAGCCAGAGACAGCCTTTCAATTATGTTTTTATCTCAAAGGTCTCCCCTTTGATTTCTAATAGGTGACACAGGTTTCCTATACTGCTTATGTCTGAGCCTTCCCCTCAAGCACTGACGTCATAATAGCTGAGCCGTGCAGGCAGGAGTGCATGGTGCTGACTCATCCTGGTGATGTGGGATTAATGCCTTGTCTAACACAGAGCTATTATGTGAACTGTTTTTACACAAAAGAACTGTAACAAAAATGATTTGCCAGTCAGAAGACTAGAAATATGCAGTGCTAGGTAACTGAGGGGAAGGATGTGAAGACATAAAGTGGTAACCATGAACAGGCACATCGACATCCTCCAAAGCATCAACAGACATACCCTATCAACACTGAGAACAGGGAATAACCAGACTTGTCAGGGACAGAAAGGACCCACCCCTGTTGTATAAATGCATTACACATAGCACCAGTCTTTGCAGAGTTTAATCAATCTCCTTTCTCTGTCAAATAAATGTCACATTTGRCTTTAGCCTTAGCCTTCTTGGAAGGATTTTGTCCCCCTATATATATTTGCCACTAGCTTCTAGGAATGTTAGTGAAAGGCACACACAAGCAAGAGCCGTGGAAACTGTCTTTCTGTGCAGATGATTACAACACAATAAATACCTTAGGTCAGTGAAGTAAGATATAATGTTGTAAATAAGGGACATTGTGCACCAGAGAGTGAGAAGCAGTCAGAAGGATCATGATTATTTATCACAATAGGTGACTGTCACTCCCTGCCAGATTTCTTGGGTGGTGTCTCCTGTAGTGACTTGATTATTTGGTTTCACAGCCCCCAAATCTCTTTCAAGCAGCTCAAAGTAATATTTATCTAAATCCACTCAGTGCAGACTGGTTTGGTCTTTAATAAATGTTCTCTTTTTTTCATTTGAAATCAAGCTCCTTCTGCCCCACCAACTTCCCATCTTTTCTAAAAAAGAATGCCACCTTTTATAAATCTCATGGAATGTGTGAATCCTAGATTTCTTCCCCCCACCAGACTTAAATTTTGCAAAAAAAAAAAAAAATTAGCCTATTTACTTATCAGTCTTGTATTTCTTAGTGAAAGGATATTATAAATTTAGTCAATAAATGAAAGCTGTGATCTAGAAGTTAAAATTAAAAACTGTTAGATCTACGGAAGGGTGAATAACTAAAGAATAAACAATTGCCATTGATTGACAGCAGAGCAAAAACCCAACTGTTGCTGAAGGCTGGCTGAAGAACATAAGCTATAGTTTAGAAGAGCAGAGAGTTTTGCAAATAGCAGTTGTGGTCAAGTAAAGGGCAGTTTTTACATAACTATGGTGGCTGGGGCTATGATCTTTTCAACTTTCTCATGAATGGCCACTTACCACTATGGCCAACAGCATTACCTCCAAACAGGAAAGAAGCTAATGCATACTAAAGAAGCACTAGAAACCATAACAAAGACATCTAGAAAATATGCCAACAAAGTCCAAAATATTCCAAACTTGATGATTTCTTTTTAAAGGTAAAAAAAAAAAAAAAAACACTTTTACTTACCTAAGGAGAAGGGGCAGGCAACAGACTGATGGTCAAGGAACTGAAAATTAAAGAAAAAACATGGAATTAAATGCAAATTCAATGATATAAAGAAATCTAAGATGGAATTTTAGCCATTTTYCCCCTATATCCTCAAATGAAGGAGACTCAGACTCACAGAAATTTTCCAATGGCATGACTACTTGCTATGATGACCAACACAGTACTTCTCAGCACAAGGGATGGCAAGATCTTTCTTTGTCAATTTCATCCTGATCTGTATCATATAGGATTTCCTGGAGCTGTACTATTTTTCAATACAATAGCCAYAGCCTTGTCTATTTTGATATAAATTATTTAAAATTTAACAAAAAATTAAACTTTTGGTTATTCAGTTTTACTAGCCACATTCTAAGTATTTAATAGCCACATGGTGGTGAGTGTCTTCCTTACTGAATTGCACAGGCATAGAACATGCCATCATTATAGAATATTCTGTTGGGCAGCACTGATAAGAACAGTTTTATTACACAGTGTGTCACAAATTTTAGCTAATTCTGGCAAAGATAAGTTAAATCCTGAGGACTTTTGGCTCTTGAAGTATGAATTTAATGTGCTTACTGCCTGAATGACCCTTTAGACAAATTTCATATTTCTATGCATTGTTGAACTTCAGTAACATGGAGAAGTCAACCAAATCAGGCTCAATGCCTTGACTTCCCTTTCTAATACTGTCTCCTCTACTCTGCTGCACCAGTTTAAGAATGTCTCTTTAAAGCATCTCCCCACACCCCCAACATATCTCTAATGATGAAAAAGTTAAGTTTGGGGGAGAGTTGATCTCAATAGCTCCATATTCTATGTTTGCAATGTAATGATTCTCCTTTACAATTTTTCAAGCACATGCCAAATAAACTATTAGAGGACTGGTTTGTCTTCCAATATTTTGATACCTGCTGTTAAAGAAGGATAAAACTAAATTAAGAGAATATCCACAGAAATTAATAAACCAAACAAGGATGCTGAGAAAACAAAGGCAAACCACCCTCGTAGACCCAACTAGAACATATCAAGGATTTAATATATGCTGAAGAAATTCTTGTTTCTGACAGGACGATTTTAACCACTTCACAGAATTCCTCCAGAAATATGCAAACAAACTTCACTAAAGGAGATCTAGTAGAAGGGCCTGATTGAATATCTTTATACTAGGGCTAAAGGAGAACACCCACAATTATTCAGAACTCACATTCCAGACAGTTTTCTGGACAAATGCATAACTGCAGACATTTTCCCAAAGAAATGGTTCTCAATATGTGGTGGATGGGAAACCTGTCCATGTATATGTAGATGTAAAAGGTGGTGGTCCCCTCCTGGGACATGAAGAGTTAAGAAGAAAATCTACAGCCTTGATCATAATGCATACTAATGCAAGAGAGGTTGGGGGTCTCCCATGCTTTCAAATTGTTCCACAAAATTGATGAGTTTAATGAAAAATTTAAGCAAGATAATTAGATTATGTGTGATTTATTGAAAGTATGTACAAATTTGAAATACAAAATAATAACTGACTAGTCTTCAAAGATCTTAAAGTTCTAAGTTTTGCTACATTCTTTTCTTCCCTACAGGCCAAATTCTAGACTATTGCCCTGGTGTATCTTTTTCACCTTTTCCTCTCCCTCCCTCTTTTTYTCCTTTCCTTTCTTTATGCTGTGCCCTCCAATTCCCTCCACACACCAACACATACTCTTTGAGCTTTCTTTCTTTCTCAACCTCTGGGGAAAATGGGAAAAAAATTAGTGATTTTCTATAAAAGTGTCCAATTACACTTTTCTATTGCACATTATAACCCCAATTATTCCTCAATAATACATGGTGCTCTTATTATACTATACCTAGTGCTTCTGTTCTTATATCTCCACAGGTAACTTTCCTACTTAAATTTAAAGGAGCATTTATTCACAAAATTAGTCAAAATTAAATTTTTGATGTGACCAAAAGAGATCAATGGAAATTTTACCCAGATTGACTAATACATCTGTGGTCTGGAACAAAAAACTATCTTTCCTGATGTCAAATGACACAGAGGCCGTCAAAGACAGGAATCAACCACAGAGAGAAAAATCACAGTGTATGTTACCATCTAAGATAAAGTAAAGCCAAGTGAAATTGAAGATTTAACTGAATATAATTACTGTCCTTAGATATTAATGCTAAATAATAATACTGATCCTAAGTTTAATACTAAGGCTAAAAATTTAATCTTATAGTTCTTATATAATTCATAAATGCTTATAAATGTCAAAAGACCCTTGCATCTTGATTGACTTACAAACTGCTATGCAATTTTGAGAACACATATTAATCTACATAGATTTATTTTTGTTCAATTCAAAATGCTATGTTATTGATACATGTCCCTTCTACCTCAGTGGTACTCACCTTATATGTTTGTACATCGTTTTTGTCTAAAATGAAAAGAATTATCTATAATCATTTTGCATAAGAATTAAAGCATTTGCATTAAGCAAATTCCAGGTCCAATGTACAAATATGTAGCAAAGAACACAAAACTGTAAAGCTCTCCAATTCAGGATACTGAAACAGTGAGTGGGGGTATGAATATAAAGAGGGGCAAGAGGGGTGACATGTACTGAAATCTATTCTTAGTTTCATGATTCCTTAGTGGAAATTATTACCAAGTGTCAATCTCTAAGGAATTAGAAGTGTTATCAATTGTAACTTTAAAGATCAGTCAGTTCTAATTTCAATTTATATAATGTTCTAAGGCAGTGGTTTCCAACATTTGGAGGTGATACAGATTCCTAGAAGAAACTCTCTCTCCAGAAAACTCCTCAAAAAACAGCAAGTTTCAAGGAGCTCTGGGACCCCATGAAGGCTAAGGAAGGATCTCAGGTTACTTATCAGTGGCCTTGGCAGAAAGGAGAGAAAACCCTCCTTAAATCCCACTACTTATAACCTCTAGGAATTTTAACAACACACAAAAAKCTGAAGCTAGGAGCAAAGAAAACCTATAAAAAATAGATTTCTAAAGGGTGTTTGGCTAGAGATAAGTGGATTCTTTAAAATCATCCAGACTTGCATCTTCCTAGTCCTTTATAATTTATTTTAAAAATGTCCATAGAGCCTTATTCACTGAGGTAAAAGAATACAGAACAGAAAAATGATAATGCTAAGAAGAGTTACTATTTTCAGGGTATCTTTTATGGTTTGAAGCATCTTGGTGAGTAAAATCTCCATTTTGGATATGGRTATAACTGGGGTAGTGGAGAGCATAAAACTGTTTACACAAAGACACAAAATACTAAGACAGCTGTCTTCCTGGAGGGCTAGTTTTCCTTGTGGGTAACTAATTTAAATTTTATTTGTACATGCATTCATGTATCTACTAACTATTTCTTGGATGCTACAGAAGATATATAACAGAAGTTGTTCTTGTCCTCATGGAACTTCCAATTTAGTGAGACAAATGAAAATATGCTAGAGATTAGAAAGCAAAATATGGATGCAGTTTTAGGGTGACACCTGAGATGCCACGGAAATGTTTGTGGCAGAGAGTTTCCTGTAATGTCCCAGCAGGGACACCAAGTATTGGATCATTCTAGCTTGAGGATCACATAAGTGGGAGAGTTGGAGAAGCACTAGTAACAGTGCTCATTTCATCCTTACTATAAGAGAAAAAACACTATGACTTCCTATTTATATGAGAGAGAGAGAGAGAGAGAGAGAGAGAGAGAGAGAGAGAGAGAGAGAGAGATATTTGAGAAATTAGGAAACTTATCCTTATCCCAAATCACACAGCTTCTGGCGTCTGAGTAAGTGTGTACCATTCCAAAGTCTACATACTTTGACCATTAAATTATACTACTTCTAGGTGTTTCCCACTTTATGTTTCCCTCTGAAATTTAGGCTCATTCAGGATTCTGCAGGCTGGTTTAAACTTCTCTTTGGAAGCAGACAGGTTTGGCTTGATTTGCATTCTTAATATTTTACAGTGGTAAGGGAAAGCTATTATTATACCCATTTTATGGTGAGGAAGCTGAGCCGCTTGCCAGCTGAGGTATTTGGCTGGGTTAAAAACAGAATTCAGATCCTTGGTCTCTCATTCCTCTTGACTAACCCCAAACCTAGGCAGTATGAGTGTCCAAGGGCTTTTCTGCACATGGAACTCACACTGGATGATAAAGAGTGAGATGAACTTTGCCAAGAGAAAACAATAAGAGTTCAATAAAAAAGTAAGTAATCACAACCCATAAAATTGGTTACTTTAAGCACTGTGAATAGAAAAGGGAAAGCTTATTCATCAAATGAATCAGAAAATTAGGATGTGTCACAGCACTGATGACAGAGCTGAGGAATTTAGATGAACTGAAGTTCAACACTTCTACCTGAAGAGGTTAAAAGGTATGACAACAGGACAGGAATGACCCCTTAGGCATGCCTTTAATCTTTTCAATTCTTTCTCTTTAACTACTTTCTCTAGAAGTTAGGTGGTTCTTATCTTTGTTTTTTCTGAGTCAGGAGGTAATATTTTAATATTCTAGAAGTATTGTATTAGTTAAATCTTAATGTGGGAGTCATTCTAAACAGTAGAATGAAGATTTTTACCTTACTGATTTTCTTAGTACCTTTCTCACTTCTAGTATTTTCAAAGACTGAGGCACTATTGGATTTTTGGATTCATATGCCTTTCAGAATACGTGTCAGCTTCATAGTTTTCTGTCAACTRATATTCTGTCTTCACTCTGGATACATGATTTCCTTTATCTGACAGATTCAAGAAATTTTATGCTAGATTTAATGACACTTCATGCACCCTACATTTGGGAGGTTTTAATTCTCTATTTTCTATTCTGCAAAAGGTTTATAAGTTAAAGTCAGAATGAAAGGTTATTCATATGTGCATATAGAGCATTTGAAGTCTCTCACTAGGTCCTTTGGAATCTCCCATGGATCAATCTATTGTAGTATTTTTATTTCTTTTGGTCAGTCACCGAACATTATAAGTACTACCTGTAGTCATTCATATCTTGAGGTATG